CCCCCAATTTACAAGAAGGGTAGAATCATAATCAATCAATTTAATGTGAATTGAAAAAATGCAGAACATGGTGCGCACATTCCATTACTGTTTTAAAAACTTCTTTGAAGGATTACCTTTGTGAGACATGGTAATTGCACTTAGGCGGGACAAATTCATCAGATAATTGATTATGAGAAATTTCTATAAAATCGGTTTTTATTGCATAAAATTATCTTGTAGACCTCATGCAAAAACAATACTTGGTAAGGGGAGCTACTGATGAATAAAAATGCTTTTGCCCATAGCAAGATATGCTAAATATACTTCATTAATTTGTGTTAAGACACAATAAGTGTTTTACAATACCTTTAAAAAAAAATCGAAACATTGTGAAGACAGTAAATGGATTTATAAAGTACAAAAAACACTCAGCACTTCCTCTAAATAATTGTTACTGAACTTTCAACAATTTTCTCAGCTGTCACTTGATAACCGTTCTAGCAGAGGCGCAAAAACTTGAGCAACTTACATACTTTGAAAGATCACTGACTTGTCTCACAGAATCTGGTTGATGAAGGTACTTCAACGCAAAGGCTAAAAATACATACCTAAGTATAGTACTGTCACATTTATTTACAAAAAATAAATGAGAAATTAATCAGTGGAAAACCATTGCTACTTCATCATTGCATTCTACACAAGCTGCTCAAAAAAATTGTTGCAATTCTATTTTTGTTTCATACTTGGGAAAAAGTCTGAGTTTTCAACTATTAATGAGATGTCTGCCAAAGTATCATAAAAGGAGGGGAAGGAGCACATGAAGAGAGGGATTGTCTCAAAATTTTCGGGCTTTAGACCAGGTGGAGTAGCGTATCGATCAAAGCAGAATGAAAATGGAAAAATTTGGCCCAGCCTGCTACTGTGGCATAATGGTGGTCAGCCGACCAGTAATTCAACTTTTCATAGCTTTGAATTAGCTAATCAAAGGAATAAAACATATTAGAACAATTGAGCAAAAACAGATTTCTGAAAAATTGTAATTGTGAGAGACCCACCTTTTATTCAATTAAAAATACTTAAAGGGAATATAGAGCTCACACTAAATAAGTTGTCACTATGAAACTGAATTCAACAGAAACACATCAAGTTTGGACCAAGGAAAAGAGGTTCGACGTTTCATTCCTTCATAAGACTAATGTCAAGAGCAAAGTTTCATGACTTATTTTCACTTTCAAAACACTTTTTCTTGACTCTGAATTGTTGACAGGAAAAAATTCACGACTAGTTGAATTCAAAACTAATCTCAACTGCTATTAAGACTGTTTCAAAAAGGCGACTTGGTGTGTTCTTGTTCAAATCGTTGAAATTTTAGAATATTTTAAAGGATTAGCTGTCCACAGCCCAGACCAGAGAGCAAATACAAAACTCAAGATGGTGCGTCTTCTACCTTTCTACCTGGTCAAGGCCAATCGCAGCCTTCAGTAACACCCCTTTATAGGTCCAGTGAACTAACTACCTATTGAGAGACTTAAGTCCCTTCATCACACACACAAAAAAAGAAATGGAATAGAAATTCACATATTAATAGTAGAAAATTACACAAGTAAATAAATTACAAATCCTATTAAAAAAGTAATGTCAAAGTATGTGCTATGCTCCCATAATTAGTGACAAAACTGTTAGCACCTGTAGGGTGGTTCAAAATTAGTAGAAAAACCTTTTCTTAAAATATTTTGTGCAAATAGTCTTATTGTCTTCCCAATGATCTTCAGATGACTCGTGGTGGAAATTGTTAGCTTTCAAATATTGTAAATATCTAGAGGAACTACTGTTGTTAATAAAAAACGGTTTCAATTAAAATTTTGGAGCAAATTGGATAGCAAGTCGTGAAACAACTCTCCCTACTTAATAATGAATCATGTAAGGATCCTCTCCTCTACAAGGGTTTTTCCCAAGTTGCATTTTTTCAGATAAAAATGCATTTGAAGTCGCAAGAAAATGCTCTAGGTACAATTTTAGAGTTTTAAATGAAAAGTTATTATCTTTTTCCAAACTTTAAGATACCGAGAAGATTCCCGTTTTGGAAAAATTCTACAGAATTCATCGGTCAAAATGTTGCTGTGAAATTGATATGAAAGTTACAATAAAATTATGAGAGAACTTTAAGATCTGATCCTTTAAAGAAAAGTTTTTTCTATCTATTTTGAAACGCCAAATTCAATTACACCCTTTTCAGTTGCCACACAATTAGGATAGCTTCATTATCCTAAAATTTAGCACATTCAATGTTTTACCCGTTTAACCCAAATGTATTTCTTATAACTTAGAATGCCCAGTAGCTTGAGGGCAGGCAGGTATTACCTGGAAAAGGTAATCGATCCTGAACCTCTCCTGTAAAAAATAGGGTAGTCTCTAGGTTTCAGTAATAAGTGGTTGCGGTCTCCCCAAAAATTTCTGCGCTCAAATCTATGATCAAAAGGTAGTCCACGGTCAGGCATATGAATGTCTTGTTCCACCATTTGTGCATCTAATTCGAGCATCTGCAAACAAGAATATTTATTTATTTATTACATTTTGATACACGGGAGCCGTGAGGCTTTAGTACAGGTCAATTCATGTACAATAAAGTTTTTTTTAATCAACTAAAAAGTATTAAATTTCTAAGATAACAATCCGAAAGCACAGAATATTGTTTACAAATTTCGAGAGAGGGCTAGAATTGCAGAGTCAGCTATTCAACCAGGAGGGTGGACTGGGTCATACCATTCAGCAATTCATCGATACTATAGTAAGCATTTTTTAGGAGGTGTTCCAAGAGCTTACTTAGAAAATATTGGCAACGGCCTTCACGGAAAAGAGATTTTAGTTCCCAAGGCAAGGCATTAAATAATTGGATAGAAGAATACTTCACGCTTCGCATTGTTGAAGTCAGCCTGATCTTTGAATTTTTTATGCTCTTAAATCTGCTAATATAAGAGTGGGAAGGACAGAGATACAGAGAATACAAAAACCAAGGTGAAGATCAGAATTTTGCATCATCCAAAAATGTGTTCAATGTGGATCTAAAAAATTTGTAATCCAAAATCAAAAGAAAACCCTGCCTGAATGCTCAATGCTGATATATTTTGCCCACAGCTCTAATGCAAGTGTATAGAGCGCATCAGGTTGATACACATTGAGCTAGAGGGTCTACGGTTCGTGATACCTAGAGACAAGAGACCCTCCACTGGCCTCTTGGCAACAGGTGGAAACTTTTACTTTCAGAGATTCAAGAATTCCTTATGGACAATTATAAGGGAGCAACAGTCATCACTCTTACTTTGGCTGTTGACCTACCAGACCTACATACATGGGGGATGATGAGTTTCAGGTGACGTCATGAGCCAAACAAGTTTCTAAAACTTTGGCTTGTTTGTAAAAGGAAACTACCAACACGTTCTGAACCATCAATCATGTAGGTAGGTCAGTAGAATGCTGAAGTAAAAAGCTTCATCTCCGTTTCCTACATTGCAGACTTTGTCTCGTACTTTACTTTTGTTTGGAAAAATAGTCAATGTAGGCAATTTCTGGAAAACATACTCGGTTGTGCTCTTGTGAGGAGAATTTCACGTAAGCAAAATTTTCTGTGTAAATTTTATGCTATAAACTTAGCTTGTTTCTCTTCGAAAGATGAGGTAGAAGCAAAAATTCTGAAACACTGCAATGGAGCTACACAGTTTGGCAATTTAGCCATCAATTCCTCTAATTTAAGTTATTTTGGCATTTTGTTCCCTTTCCCCATAAACAGTTACATAAAAAGCTAGGTGTACCCTCAAGGTTGCACAACTACTGAAGCTTTCAGCAGTTTCATAGAAAGTCTGTGAGAACAAACCTGCATTGGGATGTTTCTGTAATCTGGAGGGCCTCTATCCAACAAAATGTGTTGGTCAAGGTTGTTGCGCCTGTTCCTTCTATCTTGTATGATATTCTGTTTCACCATTTTGACCGGTCTACCAGTAACAGGAATGGGAGGGGGAGGCACACGCGCAATAATCGGATTTGGTAGAGGTGGTGGCTCCATCTCCTCCTTATTCACCGTGGGAAGGTGGTTAGGAACAAGGTACCCCACATCCTCTTCTTTCTTATGACAAATCTGTATTGACTTCATTCCAATAATTTCTGGATTCTCCTTCCAAAAAGGCTCTCCGATTATGTCTACAGTCAGTGGGAAGATGAATTCTTTCAGTGAGCCATCGGGAGGAGTTGCGACTAGTTTCCTGACTAGTGTGGTTCCCTTCCGGAATAAAGGTGGCTCCAAGTTGTAGTTGATATCTAATTCATTCATGAGGATCTCAGTTTTTTGTGTTATAGATGTGTTTTTGATTCTTTCTTCTGCCTGTAATGAAAGAGAAAAAAGGATGAATGATAAGTATGATAGGATGAAATGATTAGAGTGTACACAAGGTAAACTTAATTGTGTTTTATTCTTATTTGGTTGCTCAAGAATCTACTTTTAAGAGTAGCTGAGCAGGACATTTTTGACCATATAGCTATCAAGGTGACGTAGACAATTCTCATTGGCGCAGCTAGAAAAATTTAGAAGGGGAAGCCACATTCACTCCTGAAGAGAGTCCACTGGTATTCAGCAGCTACAGACGATCGCAATTTCTCGGGAGGGGTGGGGGGTCTTCTTGCTCTGCTTGTGACAAAATGAGGCAGCACAGTCAAGAATGTTTTGAAAATTCCATTTTTCAAGATGTTAAGATCATTTTCAGGGATGAAAAATTTAGATTTTATTGAGGAGGAACGTCATCTTCCTTCTTCATATCATGAGAGGGGGTCAAATAGTCAATTTGGTGAAAATGGAAGGTCAGCAGTTGACCGAAACATTAAAATTGCAAGTTTCAAATCGCACTTACTTAAGTATTAATACAAAAAAACTGCTGAAGTACCGCTCATTTTCTTCTTGGTCTCTCTATGGTAGCTGATAAATGTGCCCTAAGACACTCTGTTTCTTAGGTTACTTTGTAAAGTGTATTGGTCACAAAGAGATTTAAAATTCACAGTCAAAACACTGAACAACTAGGCATTTCAGAATGTCAACTACAAGCTTATCATCTTGATAAAGTGAATTCAATAAATGGACTGTGTTAATTAAGACTTACTTGGTGAAAATTATATTTCTTCTTCAAGACAAGGGCCCAAATAGTGGTGCTGTATAAGTTCGATAAATGCACGTCTGCTTGTCGCCAACTGAGGTAGTCTCGCAAATTTTTGTCGGTGGGAAACAATATTATCCTGGCATCAAATGAAGGTGGATACAGCATTTTGGAAAATGGAAAAAAACTATTCCAATGGTAGACAAAAGATGTGGAGAATAGGCTGTTGACAATCGAGAGGATTTTGTCATGCCTTCTATTATACAGTTGTGCATCCTTGCGGAACACAAAACTGTATTCATCACAGGCGCCATAGGCTATTGTAATTTCTCGCAGGTCTTCCATCACACTGGATGCAGCCCTTGTCATTAATTCTAATGCTCGCTTATCATTAGGTTTTTCAAATCCATGCAGTTCAGCAAACCTTTGAAAATTTCTACCATTGATACGGACGACGATCCAAGAGTTTGGCAGGCACTTAACATGCTCTTCAAAACTTCTAACATATTCAAACTTGCCTTTTGACATTGTGCCTGACAGAGATGTTCAAAAACAGAAATCTCGTGCAAAAGTTACTTTTCCTTTCGAAGAGAACTTTAAGCTGTCACTTAACTAATTGAGTGCCCAAACATTTTCTGCAGGACTGTCATTTCAGAATGGAGTAATTGCAAACGCTTGAGAACATACTGAACTGTTTCCTCACCAGTTCGAACATAATTTCACACATAAATTATGGTGGTTGCACATTGATAACGATTAATATGAGTCAGCAACCTAAGGAGGTCAAATCAGTGGAATTATCACAAATAATACAGAGAAAATCTTCTTACACTTGGAAAAGTTCGTACCTTTAAAATTACAAAAACATGGGGTGAGCAAGTGTAATCCCTATCCTATCTTATCACAGGCTGTCTTGTCGGCTGCATACTACAGCATTAGCTTGAAGAAATGTCTACAATAAAGTCTGAGAATTGGTCAATAGCAGTGTATTAAGAATAAAAATTTAGTTGCAGTAAAGGGACGATATTTAATGCGACTGAATCACATCACCGAGGAGGAATCAAATTTTCAGTCTCACAATCACTTCACTACTTCAGAACCTAACCTAACTGAACTGAAACGTAAACAAAACATATCGAAACCATTCCCGAAAATAACCATTAAACAGCAACAAAACAACATAACCTGCAAAATTTTTATTCATCATCGCATCGCAATCGGAATTCTGCAAACTGATTACTTTCCTCTCTTTCGGTTGTGATTTTCCACTTTTTCAACAAATTCGAAATTTAACTATTATATCTCTTTCATTTCCGACTATTCATATCGAATTTTGTGTTCGAAGTTCCCTTAAACACCCATTACGCTCCAAATGTTGATTAGTCTGTTTCCCTCTTCCTTCTGAAAAAACTACTGTTATTGCGTTTTTCAAGTTTTCAATGTCAATCCTAGTTATTTCTTTATCCCTAATTTCTCTCGTCACCCAACTGTAAAATAATGGATCAGCAATCAAACAGGTACCAGTACTCTCGTTTACTTCTAAAATTACCGTGTCATTTTCAAGCGCCTCGAGTATTGATAAGATTTGATACCTGAACTTTGGTCTATGAGCATATCTGTACTTACTTATTATCATCCGTTGTTTCTTAGGTTTGAAAACTGTCAGGGGCAAAGTTTAAGTTATAAAACAACTATGATCAATAGATTACAAGACGAGAGTTTAATAAGTAAGGAATTTCAATTGTCTTCCAGGACAAAATGCGGCCTCTCCAAATTTTGATCTGAAAAACCTAAATTTTATCAACTTTTAGTCACTAATCAAGTGGAAATTTTCTGCATAACGAGCTGATGTTCGCCGAGATTATTGATAGCAGGTCTGTTGCCGTACTGATTTTGCCAGAGGGTAACTGTTTCATGGAAGTTCCACCAATGCTCGATGATGAACTCACTTTTTATTCCCACAGTTTCAAATCTTTCTGATTTCTCAGTATCTTTTTACCTAAGAAAATCCTCTAAATTCTACTGAAATTCTTAACTTAACCCATCCCTCATTTCTCATCATCTGTCTTTCCCAATTAAACAATGTCTGACAAATAAAGTGAGAGTGTTTTACATTGATAAGAGTTTTGTAGTAAACTGCACAATTATAAATTCTTATGTAACCTTTAGGCATTAGGGGAAAATGACAAAAGTATCAGGAAAAAATTGTCAAGTCATCTTCTTTGCTTTTTAAGTAAAATGGGTTTGATGTTTCAAACAACAAATTTTGCGTGGAAACTATCTCTATTAATGTATTGTTAACAATCTGGCATATCTTCAATTGGAAGCATTTCTATCAAACGGAACTATGTGCATTAAGACATGAGCCCTGGGACCCATAAGAATATTTGAATAACAGGGCTCACGTCATTATGCACATAGTTCCGTTTGACAGAAATACGTCCAATTGTCAGGGAATTATACAGATATACATCCAAGAAATGTCAGGGCTTTTCATTTTCCAAATTTAATGGCAACCCTGGAACAAAAATCAGCTACTTACTTAACCCAAATTTGTTGCTTTTCCAGGTTTGGATCAAATTTAGAAGATAACACCATACCTGACAATGATGGTAAAGAGCTCAATGGAAACAATGTGAAACGTATGAACCCTCAAGACAAACGTACAAAACGAGGAAACAAAAAATCTGCGAGACACTATGATGGAAATTTTGTTGACATCAACAACATGTCACAGTTCACACCTAGTCATTGGACAATGAACCACCCGCACCCACAAAGGCAGCATCTCTACCCAGCCATGTCTGATCCAAGTGTTTGCAGTTACCAGATTCCAATTAGTTTTCCTATGGAGTCAGTGTCATTTCCTTGCTACCCTGTCTACCAATCACCGGTTATACCTGAGATGCGGAAACAGTCCCATTTATCTCCTAGACGGCTTCCTTCTCAATCGCGAATCATTAATAACACCCATTTACGCCAGTCTGAAAATTACACCAGTCTTCCACCTGTTCCTCCTCCGGAAGCCCCAGAAGATCATCAGCGCCGATTCAGTGACCCTGGTAAGTATTTATGTGCCATTTCAACGTAAATAGAATTAATAGGCATCGTTTACCTTTTTAACATTAGAGGCGCGTTGTTAAAGTAAACTTGTCCGATTTCGTCTGGTTGTTTTGTTTGCAAATGCAACATAATCCTTGCGCTTTAGTCCCGTCCCCCTTCCGTCCCTACAACTGTTCCCAGGCAACCATTATTTGAGACCATCTAACTCAGGTCGCCTGGCCGGGAATCAAACCCGGGACTTCCCGATCTCGTAGCTTTTGCTACAGCCACTACACCATAGGAGACCAACAACCCAATTATATTATTTATTTTAATTTATCCTCTGAAAGCACAAAGTGAATTAAGCGCCTAAGAATTTTTCTGAGTTTTTTAAACCCCAAATAGCAAAGAAACCTGCTTCGAAATGGCCAAAACTGAGGCCAGTTTGAACCAATATTTTTAGCTAGCTCTGAGGATGTAGCCGGGGGAGAGAAATAGCATTTACTAATTAACTGAATTTAGCATCATCCTACTACGTCAACTTGACTGTCAAATTTTGATCAATCGGATCTTAATTAGCTTTTTCTCCATTGGAAATTAATTTTTAAACTTTTAATGGAATTTCAGGTTTTTTTTCCACAAATTTTACATGGGAATAACAATTCTTTAATTCTGTAAAAATTCCTTGCCACTGCCCCATCGGATGAAGGAATATTTCTTTAATAAAAGAACAACTTAATTTGGGGAAAAGGCTGCAAATAAAGAACAAAGAATAAACAAAACCCGGAACGTTTCAAAATCGTTACAATTTCATTGTCAACCGGAAAATAAATTAAAAACAAAAACAAGCCGTCGCTACGCTGTTATTGCGAGACCGAGACTCAATATTTTCGAGAATATTTCTTTCTTTTACCCAATTAACTATCTTACGCAACTTTATTTACTCTTGAGCCACTTGACCACAGGTAAGTTTCACCTGTTGTTCATGGAATACATATTTAATGCTCAAGATGGAAAGGAGACTGGGGTCAAGAAGACTGTTGCACCCTTTTTGTTTTTTTACTTAATAAAGACTTCTGTCACGAAAGTGTTATATGTTGGGGGAGGGGGGTGTTGAAAAATCTGAAATTTTATGGATGGCCTTTAAACAGTCAGTCTCACTGACCTTCACCCTTCAAACTGAATCTTGCATCCATTTTCTCTGCTCTTATTTTTTCTAGAAGAAAAGAAGTAATTAGTAGTGTGGCATCCTTGTAATTAAGGGATGCGCTAGGTACATCTTCTACCTTTATTGCCCTGAATACCTTAATAATTCAAATGATAAGTTGCGTAAAATTTCAAAATTTGATGTTCGATTTTCTATTCAGGTCTTGGAAACGTCGATGACTCAGACTTAGAATCATCAACGTGCGGTTCTGATGACTCAGTCCCTCTCAGCAATTCCAAACTGATGGATCAGCTAACGGCAGTAAATAATCAAGTCCAACGGTTGAGTACGCAGCTTTTTCAGACGCAAAGCGAACTGGATGAATTGAAGTTAGACATGGTTTCAGTGAAAAATTCGCTCGCTTCCAAATATGAACAGCCTGGCTTGTTATCTGGTAAAATTTTATTCTTGTAAATTTTCCATTACTCAATATTATTTGATTGAAGATGTCAAAACATAACCATCCACATCCTGACCTAGATGACAACTGTACGTATTCATGCCTAAAAGACTGATTTTCATGAATTAAATCAGTAGGAGCCATTTAACCTGCAAATCCTGTGCACACAGCTCTTTTCTTTTCACTCAATTTCACACAGTTCTTTTTGGCATAAATATGTCCAATTGGCCTCATGTAACTCAAAATGCAGCGTTTTCCACCATACTTAATATAATGTCAATAGTCTACATTTTGATCTTGAAATTGGAAAATTTTAAGTATGAGTTTTTTGCATGACCTTTGTATAACTAAGTATTACTTGAATAATTGTTTTTAATGAGAAAATTGTCATTTGTCACAAATGAAAAATTAACACCTTTAATAATTCGAGTACCCATATAATCTTTTTCAAAGTAATTTCTCCTAATGTTGATACATTTTGGCGGCAGTGGTGTGGCATGCTTTGCGATATATCGATTGATCTGCTATTTAAATCTAGGGAAAGAATCGATAATCAGGATGTTTGCAACAAACACCTTAATAATCGATTCCTTACCACAGCCTCAAATAGGGAAATATCAATAATGGACCATTCAAGCCACGCTACTGTTTGGCGGAACCCATCTTGATTGCAAAAACCTTTTTTAGGCCCCTTCAGTTTTTTGAGCTCTGCTAAGTTTAAATTGTAAAATAAATAAATAATTTCTATTGGTATGTATAGCCACTAATAGGGGCTCTGGCTCAAATAGAGTTGCACAAGTTAAAACATAATTAATTTGCATATAATTAACATGAGAGTTTACACAGGGTCCAACAGAAAATACATAGGTTGTCCCAAAAGTACTGCACGTTTTTTTTTTTTTTTTTTTTTTTTTTTTNAGTAGGTATCAAAATGCGGTTTGTGTAGTCTTAAAGACCGGCTAATTACCAATAAAACAAGACAAATCCGAGCTCTTTAAGTCAAAAAATGACCAAGTTACAGTGTTTTGAAAATGACTTGTAGAAGGGACCCCTACAGGATTTTTAGCTTCTTTTCTGGAAAAAACGAAGATTTGATTAATCAAAAATTCTACAGAGAAATCGTCGGATGGAATGAAGTTGGCAACATGGTATCAGCCCAGACCTTGCACCCTGCGATTTTTGGTTATTCCCTACGTTGAAAAAGGGCTTAAGAGGCAGGAAGTTTAACTCCATCAACAAGATAAAAAGAGCTGTTGAAACTTTCTTAAAGAACATCAGGCAGGAGGAATTCGAAAAAACATGTTTAAAGAAGTGGGAAGAACGGTTGCGGCGCTGTGTGGCAAGTGATAGAAGGTATTTGAGAAGGAAACTAGTGTCCAGTGGTCCAGTGAAGAAGAGTAAATGCTATTAATCTTGGTAAGATTCTGCAAAATTGATTTAATAAAACCACTTGAATCCTTAATTCTTTGTTTTTTTTCCAGAAAAGAAGCTGAAAATCCTGTAGGGGTCCCTTCTACAAGTCATTTTCAAAACACTGTAACTTGGTCATTTTTTGATTTAGAGAGCTCGGATTTGTCTTGTTTTATTGGTAATTGCTCGGTCTTTAAGACTACACAAACCGCATTTTGATACCTGCTACAGTTTGTCCAAAAAACGTGCAGTACTTTTGGGACAACCTATGTATACTATAGTATGCATTGTCTCCTGGTTATAACTTAAGTTGTTTTAAAAATATGTTTGGGGAGCCCTCTGTGAAATTATTCTCATTCCCTTGCTTAGTGAGTTGAAAAGAGGTCATCGAGAGAGAGACCATCGAGAGGTCATCGACGTCTTAGAGAGGTGAGGTTGAGAGGGATCTTTATTTGTCATCAGGTTTCCCTCCTTGAATGAAACTTATTCACTGCTCATAAAATTGTGGCTGGTTGAAAAACCTTGATTTTAGGACTTCTTTTTCCTAGCAAGAGCTCTTGATTGGATACACTCATTTTATCAAGTTTCATCATGGTAAAACACTGTCGAAAACAAAATCTCTGGGTACACCTATTTCTCAGTGCTCACTTTCCGTCAATTTTTTTTTCCAGAGATGATTGGTGAAATCAAAAAAGCTGCTGAAATCAGAGAAAAAGCATTTCTTTCTCAAATATCTAGTTTTATCTCTTCAGTGAATTTAAAGGTAAGTGAAATATTAAGGAATTTTGGGAATCACTATGATTTAATAATTAAAATACTGTAAAGTAATAGATCTGCCCATCACATTGACGTATAATACAATCTAGACCGCGCATTAGGAAATTTTGGCGAGACTAGGCTCCCTTCAAGCGAGACGATAGGCAACCCAGCAACACCCAGCAAGTGTACCGGCGAGACAATGGTGGAATTCGTGGAAATACCAGTCTTGCTAGTGCCGTTGCCTGATACGGGTACACTTAGCTCGTATATCCGGCGGTATCAACTAGGCTGAAGGCGCGTCTTTGCCCTGATTTACCCCCCTAGCTGTCTTACCTTCCCCGCCTAAAGTCGGGCCCAATGCGCGGTCTAGATTGTATTATACGTCAATGGCCCATCACAACAATAGTCCATTAGATAGTGTAGAAATAAAAGTACCCTGAGGAGGGCTTGTTCCCTTGTGAAAGTTTAATGCAAAACATGTAAGACTTCTTAGAAATCTCCAAAATCAACTGTAAAGTGAGAAATAGTATAGTATAGTATAGTATAGTATAGTATAGTCTACTCACATTCAATGTAAACATCTTAATAATGCATAGGAAGACCAAAATCAGACCGTTGAAGAAGAGCCTATAGCAAAATTTCCTAAGGTGTCTCATAAAAAATCCTTCCTCCCCCTTATGCATATTACCTAAAATAACTCTTTTTCTTGTGAAACACATCCAAATTTGTTCAGGATACAACTGAATTTAGTAGATTTTGGTTTTTTAGGCTGTTGGAAGTTTGAATTTGTCGAAGTCTAAGTCTGCAAAATGCCAATTTTTTTAATTACCAGTCGAATTTGGACATTCTCAATACATTTGCTCTAACTGTACTCTCCATGAACTGTGATGAGACTCTAGTGTTGTAATGCTTCATTTCTAACCTCGTCTGGTGGTCCACTACAGGGAGGACAAACTTCTATATTTTGCCAGTTAGCTTTCTGCCCTTTCAATTTTTCTGAATTTTACTATCAGTTCATTTCTGTGCCCGGTAAATAATGAAGGGCAGCTGCCCTAAAAGGAAAGGGCTAGGCGTCAATAAAGTGCGACCAAGTTTTTTTTCAGGACTCAAGTTGAAGAATGGAAAGTTATATTTTAGGCTTGGGATGTTTAAAGGAAGGTTGCCAAAAATACTAAGAAGAATTTCATCGGGAGAATAGCATTAACAAAGCGAAAGAAGTGATTTCATAATAAGAAGTATTAGGAACAAAAGCTTCTTCAAATCGTCTTTTGATGAGGGAAGAGAGAAATTAGAGACCTTGAGAGGGGGCTGGAGACCCCTTCAGTTGATGAGCACTTAGCTTTGTCAATATTAACTTGCCTCGTGATGGATTAAGATAATTCCCCATTATTTTTCGTGGACGCAAACATCAGGTATAATGCTTATGAGAGACAATCTTTCACTTAATTCTTTTAATTATATTTCTGCACTTTGTTCTGTGAGGTTTCTCATACTAGAGCTTATGGTTGTCTATGATCGAGTCATTAAGACTATTCCATTTTCAACACTTTAAATAATAGAGAACTCTAAATATCACTTTCTGACTCATAATTTCTTTGGTGAGTGAGAGAGTGAACTCAAGAGAAGTAGGTAGAGGGGATGGGTAAAACATTTTGAAGGTCCAGTATATTTACGAGTAATTTTCCCTCTGGCATTGGAGGTTAAAGTCATTTTCCTATCCAGGAATACTGAATTAAAGAAGAAAAATTAATGTTCTTAATAGAGCACCATTGATGATTGTTTATATATTCAATCATATGCATTTACATTGCTTTTTTATTTATATTTGAAGTTAGTAAAAATTCTGTCAGTATTGGCAATCAAGAATTCATAAGAGCCATTCTTTGGGACTTTTAATCAAGATTTATCTCAACAATTGATTATATCATTAAGAGAAAAAGATGCCTGCTTCAAAATACGTTTGAAACTTTTGATTTTGACACGTTACAAATACTTTTAGTCCCAAAAATGATGACCTAATCACCTAAGCCACAAACTTATCATTTATACATATGGGTGACCTAAGTGTGAAACAACGTATTTTCATGTGTGGTGTTACAGACCTGTTATACTTCATTTTCTTTTCGCGAATCCTCGAAAACTTCCTTGATTTTGCTTCTCTGCCAGCAGAATACTCTGTAAAAATTTCAAACCATAAAGTTAGCTTTTTTCTCTTTAAAAAAATAAAAGTAAGAATGGAAATTTCCAAACACCCCAATAGAGATATGTGGTTTCTTACTTAGACCATCAATGTAAGTTATTCATATGATTTTGTGGTCTTGCTAAAAGTTAGCAATGATTTTTATAAAGAATATCCAATTACAGAATCAATCTAACTACAGACCCTTCATTTTCTGTAACACCGAGAATGGTTTTTGCTCAACTCTATTCAATTATGGCGATTTGAACGTGGAAAAATGAGCTTTTCCCCTTTTGTATCAAGTTATTTAGGCAAAATTTGTTTAAAATTTTCCAGAAATTTGAAACTAGTTGTCATGAGGAGAGCGTCAATGTTTCTGAGAAAGGAGATCAACCAACAGTGACCTCCTCTGAGTTCGAGATGTAAGTACATGTTTCTCTCTCACTAAATAACCTTTAATTTCTCTCATAACTTGGCAACTATGCTTTTTTAGACTTATTCATCAGCCGAGAACTTTCACAGGTCATTAAAATTTTTAATGCAGTGCATATCATGTCATTAATTAATTTTTGAAAGAGCACCTGATCATTAACTTTCACTTTGTCAATTGTTAATTTCATCAGTGGATTGGTATTTCTTAAAATTTTCTTTACCAATTGTAGCTTCATGAGCAATTTTGTTTTATTTTCCGGTTATTTATAGTCGACAATCTTTGATGGTTTTATCTTATATTATTGCATTAAAATCCAAGTTTTATTGTTTTTCGAGTGTTCTCTGTGATTTTCAACTTATATCATCGCCGTTCTTGAAAATTCACTATTTTCAACAAACAAATTTTCAAGGCACCTTAGATCATCATTACCTCCTCAGCAGTTGCCAAAATCGTGATACTGACATGAAACTAATTGTCAATTGAGGAAATCTTCATAAAATGTCTGTATGAAAGTAAAATTTCATCAATTTCCCTGTAAGGTTGGCACAATACTAACTTGAAATAGAAAACCGAATATCAACAGATGTCCTCGTAATATATGTGTTTTTCTTTTTTCGGTTCTTTTTTTCTCTTTATTCTCTATATTCTCTTTTTCATGCTATGTTTATCCATGTCATGCTTTTTTATGTCTTATGTTTTTTTGCCTCTTTGATGGGACATAGATATTTATTTTTCCTATCATATTTCTTGTATGTCTGTATTTTTAAAGCAATTACAGCTTTTTTCATGTGTGTACTTTCATGTTATGTCCTTGATACTTTCAGTGACTCATCAAGGAAAATTTTAGAGGTAGAGAAAAAGTGCGTTCAACTGGAACAAGCCCTTAGTGATGCAATATCCGCAAAAATAAAAGCTGAAAATGAAGCTGAAAGGTAAGTCATTTATATTTCTTTTCACCTTACTACTTTAATCTAAGTAATGCGCTCCTCTCCATGTGTTTTCAAGGGAAGAAATTAACAAAGTTGTACTTATTCTTGATCCATTAAGTTTGTAGCTTAAGATTTTTAAAATCGTCTTGATTTATTTAAAAGTACATAACCTCATAAATGTGTGTTTGAATCAAGAGGTACTGTTATTCGACTTGATTATATTTGCAGTATTCCAACTTCATTCCATAATTTTCCGACCCATTCAGCCAAGAAGCCTAATTTTTAGGTGTCCTCTCCAATTCTTTAGGACTCATAGATTGTGGATATTATATGTAGCACTAGAATTTGCAAGGAGCTACAGAAACTAGCTACATACACTACTGTTCTAGATTTGTTCATGTTAGAAATTTTTGGCAAACACCCCTTATTTCTACGCACCACAGTTTTATTCTTAGGCACATTTGTTGTGTGGTGCCCAGTAGAGGAGAAGAAGGCGCCACAGGTGAAATCAAAATATAGTTCATTCGCCAGTGTAGAGCATTTTTTATCGCCTTTATCATTTTCAGAAACCTCTCCACAGTTTACGACCTTTTTGTGAACCAGTCCCCATAGTTGAAGTAAAGGAAAAGGTCCAGGTGTCCTCGACTCTCACATAGGACTGATTCGTACCGTGACCCTGCACTTTCTGCAGACTTGTGTTAATCTATTATCAAGTACATAAGTTATTGCAGTTTTTTAGCCAACGTGCGTAGAAAGTTCAGCTTAAAGCTGATATCTCATTACAGAGGGAAGAAGCTCACACTCAAGCACAATTTTCCCCCAAAGAGATATGCTGTTTGGAGCAACAATAGTTACGTCCATTCTTGAAGGCAACTGCAGACGCGTTTCGGCCTTGTTGGGCCAATCCTCAGTGCAGTGTAGCGAGCTTGGTAGCAGAACATTCAGGTGGCTGCACTGCACTGAGGATTGGCCCAACAAGGCCGAAATGCGTCTGCAGTTGACTTTCTGAATGGATGTAACTAGTGCTGCCCCACACAGCGTATCTCTTTGAGGGAAAATTGTGCTCGAGTGTGAGCTTTTTCCCTCTGTAATGAGATATCAGCTTTAAGCTGAACTTTTTACGCACGTTGGCTAAAAAACTCCAACATCCCATCTTACGACCCGTGCGTTTACCGCAATCAGTTTGTGTGTACATAAGATACTGTCAAAAATTTCCAAGGCAAACTATGTCTGCAATGTTTATTGTTTAAGAAAGGAAGAATTGCGAGTTAAGGAAACCGCCATTTTTTAAATTTCGCAAGATTTTGGACTTTCTGTACAATTCTAAGTATGACCTGTCATAACTGACAATGGAGGGGTATCGTTAAAGGCCTCCCCCCCCCCCCCCCCCNCCCCCCCAAGGACCTTTCTGGGTCCCACCTAGAACACGTACAGATGTTGAAATAGATTTAAAGGTTGCCACAGTCAGGGAAAACTGGGGAATGTCTGTGAATATGACAAGGGGAAAAATTCTTACGTCACCTTCATTTGCTCTCTAAAATGGGTTTGACGTTTGTAACAACAGATTTTGTATGAAAGCTATCCCAAATTATGTCTTCTGAACCATTTGGCACACCTTCAATTTTCAGGGAATTTCTGTAGAATGTTACAGGGGAATCAGTAAAATGTCAGGGAATTTTATTTTTTAAATTCTGAGGTAACCCTGAGATTTCATATAAACGTTTAGGCCTGGATACACGCTCAAATTTCCATCAATTTCCGATCGAATGGCATCATCTACCATCAGATTTTTGCTGTCTGCAAAAATTTGACCTCCATTTTTGTCATCACTTTGATCGGAAATCGACGGAAATTTGAGCGCGTAACCAGGCCTTTTTGTCTCTCCCTCTTGCACATACATTTAAAAAAAGTTTCTTTGGTTTGACAACGATAGCTGAGGTCGTAAGGTTTCTGCACCTTGCTATTTTTAAAGCACATTCTCATACTCTGAAGAATGTAACTTTCAAGACAACATCCTAACAGTGCAAGGGAAAACCATTACAAATTTCCTTAAGTCGTTTTCCTGCTTTAAGCTATGAATTTGCCTTTAAACCATTTCATTTTTCTTAACTCATTTTCTTTCAGCCTGTGACTAATGATTTTGAATCACAACTTGTAGAATATTAAAAAGTTGCCCTGATAACTTAGTTTCATGGTTTTGTTTGATTTTAGATGGAAAACCAAGCTAATATCACAAAAAGATAAATCATCATCGCAGGAAACTGCGTCTTCAGAGATAGACAATGATGAGAAACTTATCGAGGATTTATCGAAAGTCAACCTGAGCACTCCAAAAGAAACCCAGTGCATTTTGCCCTCTTCAAAAGGGGATAGCTGTTCCTTCCCAGACTCGCATACTAGGAGGAAAAAAGAAGACTTCACCAAAACTCACCCTGATTCGACTGAGAGACTGGATTCATCACCATCAACCAGAATTTTAAACAGTAAAAATTACTCAAGATTATTATCGTCAGGACTTGAAATTTTGGATCAGCTCGATGACCACGCTCTTGGACCAGTCACTGATTTATAGCCTAATCTGATCAACCTCGTTTTTCTCACCCAAGTCAACTTCTCTACTACTAATCAAACTTAAGAATTTTAAACTTATTTGTTCGCTGAAATAAGGCATATCATATTTTCAGATTTAGTTGTAGTCTTATCATTGACTCGTTGATCGTTAGGGAGTAATTTGCTCTTTCATCAAAAAGTAACCTGCTACTCGGAAAATTCTACCATCTATGACTCTTGCATTTTTGCTTCAAGGAGGCCAGTCAGTCAAAGATGAAGATAATATTGACAAATCATTTAGATCGTAACAGTTTTTTTCGTTTAACTTTTCTTGCACAGACTGTATGAAAACAATTTACATAATCTTTTTGAAATGATTCAAGATGGTTATCTGCTTTTGTAGTTTTCGTATCAAGTTGTTACTTTTGCCAAGCTTGTGGTTTTACAAACACTCAATGGAGAAAGTGCTTTGCCACTTTGAATTCACTCTCCTCTCGTAATTCTTTCAATTCATTAATGATAACTAATTTCAAATGATTTTTGCACCTATATTTTAAAAATAATTTCCCACTATCACACTGTATTGTATACATTTTGTTTTCCCCTTTCCTTCATCAGCAAAAGACAAGTTACTAATGTTTAATTAAATTCTTGCTTGAAATTTTATTAAAATAATTTCAGTGAAATTTTCCTCCTCAGAGCCACAGTTATAGATGCTAGTAATCTTCCCCACCCCCCTCCCCTTCATGTTTTTAAATAAATAAAGTTGTTTTATTTTAGCTTCTTTTTGGAGATGAGATTAAGTTATGTACAATTAACATGTGCGAAACACCAGAAGTCTCACAATCTTTTTTAGAAGTTACATAATAAGTGTGACTAATTAAAATTATATTTAAATTACATTTGAAATTGAGGCGAAGTTTGCATAGAACATAGTACCATTATTTCCTGTAATAATTTTACTCTGGTTTTTGATTCCCATCATTGCTAACTTCAAACTTTCAGAACCTTTCATACAACCAGGTAAATTTAAGTAAATGATTTGTTCTTTCTAACCAAGCAAAAAATTGTTAAGCAATCATTGGTACGATCTATAAGTTGGGTATTATGGAGCTGTTGGCCTGAATAACAAGCTCTTAAATGCATCTAACTTGCACTTTCTTTTTGCATGGTCAAATTTGACTGACTTTTAACGCCAAATTATTTTGTCATCATGCAAATACCAAAGATAAAAATTGATATTAGGTGTGTAAGATCCAACTATGTATCTCTTCAACTTCTCTCTACCATGCTTATCAACTGAAAGTGCAGACTTATTGCCGAAAATTTTTCAGGAGGGACTCAAACTCTGAAATAGTATGATGAATGTTACGTCAAGATCATTTTCATTTTTAACAAGGTTAAGATATTGATATTATCAAACAAGTGCCTTTTTATGGAATGTTGAGTGGTTTTCTGAACAAATGTTAAGCCTCAATTCAGACACACCACAAACAGTAGTCATTTGTGTTTACTTTTTTCCATTGGCTTGAAAAATTATTAAAATGGAGTTCTAGCTCAAATTTTTTTCCTAATTTTTTTTATATCTATTCAACACTTGAAGCGGCTTACTTATTTGTAGGCCATCAAAACATTTTCATTTTTGAAGCAATAAGAGTGAAAAATTAGTACTTCTCATTTTATAAATTGGTCTTGATTTTGTAGTTGTTATTTTCACATACTTTGTCAAGTAATTTGTACAATTAATATCCAAGATTACATGCATTTTCATAACTAATGAGTCAAAACTTGATGCCTCAAAAAAGTTGTCTTAAACTTATGGAATGTTACGAGCTTTTACTGTCATTTTCTTGAGCTTTTAGTGTCATTATGGTTGAAGATTTTATCTTACGAGTCTAGTATATTTCTCTGTATTTGGAAATGTCTGTAATTCTTTCCACCTTTATGAACAGCTTCTCATGAGATAACTGTAAAATTTATTTTCTCTAACATCTAGTGTACAAATTAGCAATTTTGACCTCTCACTTTGTAGAAGAGTGACTATTTATTCAGTGTATTTCAGATTTGTGGTTGTTTTTTTCAATTAATTTAGTCCTCAGTCCTGTAATGCAAAAGATCATCTCAGCAGCTCATTCTTGCACTGCATTTTAAAATTCAAATGTAACACAATGTAAAGCAGAAATTGATGACCACAAAATTTAAGTATGATTATTAAATAGAATGAACCAAAATTAAGAACATTGCAATTGAAAAGAACTGTTGTGAACCTATCTAAAAATTCAAATTCAATCAGAATAGTCTACTTGACATGTTTTGAATCTTGAATGTAATTTTTCCTCTTACAGGTAGGTCACTTTGAAGATGGAACTTGAAGGATTTGAGATACACCGCGCATGTTATTTTAACTGACTTCAGTCCTCTAAAATGGTTTCGCTCAATTCATTTTGTATTTGTTATATTTACCATAAGTAATATTGGGTTGTTGCTGCCTTTATTAAGTATGTGGAAAACAAGTAAAAAAAAAACCAGAAAGTCTTGCGTCTCATGTATGAGAATGAAGATACCTCTCTTCGAATTTTTCGGCTGAAATATGTACTTTTGAATAAAGTATCCATTACTGTCTCTCAAGAGTAAGATGATCAAAGATTGTTATAAAAGTAACCAAACAAATACTGTGCCATGAAAATTTGCTCAAGAGAATGATATTTTTTTAAAAATCATAATAGTCGTTACCAAATACTAACATTATAAGGTATATCAAGGGGTTTTTTGCTGAAAGTTTCACAAAAATGCTACCTATTCTCAAAGAAAAGCATTTAATCATTTCACTGCTTCATCTCAGAAGTTGGACCAAAATAAATTCAAACTAAGGCTTGCCTTACACAAATAGATGACCTTTCAATCATTCGTATTGGTGCATTCTGATATAAAGATCTTCCACTTCCAAAGGTCAATTTTGTCTTAAAATGATAAAGGAAAATAATTTTCAATTTCGGAGCAAATGAAAGAGTTTTAATTTATGTGCCCCCTCTGTAAAAGATCTTCGCCCTTTGCTATGAGCACTATCAAAATGGTGGAACTAAATTAATATTCCTCAAGTATCAATGAAACATTATCCATATTGTATAAGAATTTTCATTTTCATCAGAGAATTCGTTCCAAATGCAATGATAATTATTGGAAAATTCATTCTAGAACGTTAGGCGTATTTTTAATGCATTATACAGAAATCTATCTCAAGATCAATGTATCTTTTCATTATAACATAAACATCTCAAATCTCGGGTAAAAAAAAGTCATTAAATAAAAGGCAACAAAACAAAAGAGGGAAAAAAACTTCATTGCCCAAAGTTATCGTGAAAGTCTGGCACTTTTTAATTTTCCCCAAAAATTGTCAAATATTAATAAGTCAATGCTAAACATCCTGAGCTGCTTGTTGCCCCTATTTTAATACATGAAGTGTTGTTACCAGGCAGTGCTGGAAAACTAGAACTTTCCTCCATTTAAACCCATGTAAAATATCAAAATTTTATCGCACCAACTGGCAATTCTGAATGGGGGCATAAATTAAAGCTAAGAGTATAAACAATTCATTGGTATGATTGTTGTTTTCCCTTTTTGAATAAATCACAAAAAAGGGAATTAAAATGTGATGGACCTCTAGATGTTTCACTGTATAGACTTTGTAACTTTTTTCTGTAATATCATGTGTAATTCATAATTTTTTCACTTATATATTACTTTAATGATCTCATTTTTGCTACTCTAAACATAATTAATGGCAATGTAAGCTTCTCCAACTAAGAACCATATTCATAATTGATTCTTAAACTAAGAAGTTTTCTGCACCTGCGAGGCATACATTGAGTTACGTACATTGAAACAAATTCTCATTGTGAAATACAAAAATTACGTTTAAAAATTACAAAAATCCCAATTTTCAAAAATTACACCAAGGCATGTATTGAAAAGCTCTTAAACAGTTACTTCATGGATATATGTTATTACTCAATAGAGGAGGCTCTCATAAGACTAAAAATAAGCCTTAATTTTCTATCATAGTGTATGGTCTGTTTGGTACTGTTACACTCCTTTAATGCTTTCCTGTTATCTTTTGTATGTTTTTAGCTGTACTAATGTGACTCATGCGACTGCTTTGTGCATCAATAAATAAATAAAGTAAAATAAAACAAATTTAGGAGAGCTCTAAGTTTGAGGGAATTCTGAGAATGTGACCGTTGTCTCTAGCTGCTTCAGTCCACAGTGTATCAATTCTGGTGAGGAATAAAAGCAAATTTCTCATGAATCTAAAATTCCTCAGTTTTATTCAGATTCAAGCATTTAGTCGTTTTATTCAGGTACCTGCTCTGCTATTTGAGCATCTCATTTTTCTTTTCAAGGAGTTAGAAGAGGAATAATTGCTATCAAAAAGTATGAAAACAAATCTTAAAATGTGAGAAGTTCACAGTACGTGCGAGTTTTATAAATACCATAGACCTTGTTTTAAATTCTAACTACATACACACATACCAGTTTTAAATTTTATTGATTGCGGCTACCCTGCTTAATTTGAATTATCTCTATTTCACTGTTGAAGTGCACTTAAATCATGTTGTCGTGTCTTGATAGTTTTATGAATATTTTGTTAATGTTTGTTCGATTAATTTTCTCTCCAGAGTTATTCGTATTGTACATAATATGTATTTAGTTTGAAGGTTATGTAATTGACTCCTAGTGAATTTTGATTAGGAAAATTCTTGCAGAATGTGTTTGTCTCTAGTCTTTAAAAAGATATATTCTGCTAGAAAAAGAAGAAAAAAATTATTAAGCCCCTACTTCATTAAATTTTTAAACTTTGCTGTCAAAGAAACGTCTTTAAAATCTCATGATCAATTCGACTCTTGTAGATTGTGTCCTTACATATAGGGGGAAAATGAAGAAGCAATGACTTCTGGTTTTCGTTCAAAAGAACAATGTTTAACCTTTCGTCAATTTGTCAAATGTACTGCTCTTGTGTCTTGTTATCAAGCACTCAAACTTCATTTTGGCTCAAATCTATAAAAGATGAAGCTTCGTTGTAAAATGTTTAATTTTTTTTTTCTTTTGAGTGTGAAGCTTGCGGCAAGCACATATTCATAAGAGTGTTAAGCCTCAATGGTGGTATAATTTCAGGATAGTGTACTTGTAGTACATTTTGATTCACACCATAAAACTTTCTCTTTGCTCAACAACATAATCACTGTTGCCTTACTTATGTATTAGAGCAATAAAATTGCAGGACTCAGTCGATTCAGTAATTGATTCAGTGCTTTTTCAAATTGTAACCATGTTAGCATTATTTATCGAAGTACTTACCCTGCACTTTTTCATCCTTTTTTTGCAATTCAAAAAAAAATGTAATTTGATTTTCCCAGTAAACTACTAATAGCAGCAGATTTTTTTTTTTTTTTTTTTTTTTTTTTTTTTTTTTTTTTTTGTATTGTGTGCTAGGTTGAATTCATATCAAAATTATAAGAAAAAATCCTCTTTCCCATCTTAAAACAATTAAGTCCAGTCACGATTGTGTCTTAATTTTTGTACCAGTTTTACTGCTTTTTTATTCATTAATTAAAATATTTAGAGCTTGCTGGTTACTAGGTCCACTAAACTTTAGGGGGATTTTTGGAATCTGAAATCTTTGGATTTAGAGAAAACTTCAGGTTAAACGCGGTTTTTCAATGACCTCTGAAAAGTTTAAAATGTGCCTACACCTAAAATATTAAGGGAAAAAATAATTTTATGCTCCATTTCTCACTTATCGTTGAAAAATGTATTTTTTCCAGCCTCAAGTCATCAATTTGTTCTCAATTTTTCAGGATCGTTCTTGCATTATCGTAAAATTTACCGAAGAACTCAGAATGACATGTTTAAGTTCCTTTTTTGCATGAAAAACCATCTATAGCATCTTCTTTTCAAGTCATCTCCGTTATCTTGTTCTGGTTTTTAAATTACATTTTTTTTTATTTTGGTCTCTTAAATCAGTGAGGTTGTTTCTTAGAATCAATAGATCACTATATCAAGGGTCAATGAGCAACAGTTTAAAGAAAAAAAAAAAATGTCCTTTATACTGCAGTTGTGTACAAAGTTCCTAAGAAAGGTTTTTTCTCTTTTTTTCCCTCCAAATTTTGTTTTCCCCTACTCCGAATGCCTTTTCAACATTCCTACTTTTGTAAAAAAAAAAACAAAAAAACTCACAGTTCTTATGTATTCAGTAGAGTACCATTCATTATTTCGTGCTCCGATCGAATTTTTTGTGTTTTGTCATCATAATGTTAAGTACTTAGCAAAACGTTTTAAGCATGTGAGATATCATTGGTATAAATGGCCTTTTTCCTCCAACACTCTAGACCCCACCTGAAAATTCATAACTGTGCTAATGATTTAAATAAATTTACTTAGTTTGTGAAGTCGCGGCGTGATTATTTTCTCCCAATAGCTCTGCCAAGAGTGAACATTTCAAGTCAAATTTTTCTCTACCTAATTGAAAATCTAGATGTTGAAACTTCTTATCGCTGTTTCAAGTCCAGAAATATTAATCAACATATTTGTAACATCGCAAATTTTCATTCTCAGTCTAATTTTATATGAAAAACCAATCATTAAATGCTCCTCAAAAAGTTTAAGTATACAGGGTGATGAAAAAGACCTCCACCATTCTTATAGCTCCCAGAGGCCTTGCATATTTTCAGGGTGATTCCCTTAAAAATTTAGGGGGTCCCAATAGCCGTACACGGAGGAAAATTTCGGGGGTCAAAATCGAAAATTTTCCGATCGGGGTGTATAATGAAGCTGGTCCCCCGTAAAATGGCCCGGTGAGGCCGATTTTCTGGTCTAAAATGCTCCATGAGTTCACTGGGGTCCAAAACTGAGATTCAGAGAGTGAATCCTAGAAAACGGCCAAAAACACTTGTTTCTATGCTTCGAAGGTTCGGCGAGTCTCGGGACCAGGCGCAATCGAGTTTACGCCTCCAACTTTTTAAGATGCAACACTAATTTTAAAAAAAATTCCTGTCCAAAATGGAGAAGTAGGTATCGATAGCAGGGGTTTCCACGCCGACCAACGACCGCACTGTGTTTGGCGCAATGCGTGAAGTATTCCTACAGTCTTGTAGGCGCTGATGAGCGTTTCGCGCCGACTGGCGATAGCATTGTGTTTGGCGCAATGCGTGAAGTATTCCTGCCGTCTTGTAGGCGCTTTTATGCGTACGGACTAAAATTTCAGGGTCAAATCAAAAGTTCCGTAATTAGAAGTGAAATGCATCTGACCTCATGTAAGATGACGCGCTGAGTCTGATTTTCTGGTCTAAATGCGTCGAAAGTTTTTCGGATACTACCTACAACTGGCGATTAAGAGAGTGACTTTTCGAAAACGGTCAAAAACACTCGTTTCTCCGCTAAGGAAGCTCTAGCTAGTCTCGGGGTTAGAGGCCCAATCGATTCTACGCCTCAAATTACTTAAGATGAGTAATTTTCTCGAAATACTTTTCCCCGTCCAAAATCGAGAAAAAATGCGCTATAACTGACGAACTGAGTCGATTGCGGCACTTTGTCACAGTCGGTGCGATACGGACATCCATCAAGTTTAAAAAAATGCATCAAGTCCCCGTACCCGCCGACCAACGCGTTTGTCGATCGTATCAACTACAGGTATTGTGCGTAGGAGGTCAAAACGCCTTCAATTTTTTGAACGCAATACGGACATCCGTCGAGGTTGTATAGTTGTATCAAGGCGCGGTAGCAAACGCGTCCCATTGTTCATCGTTACATACGAATATAAGTTGAGAGAGGCCAGTCATACTGCCTTCAATTTCATACATACATATTTTTGGGCAAAATGAGAGACGACGATTCTTCATTTGCGACGTTGCAGAATTCCTCTGAAATTGTATTTTTCTTTCGAGAAAGTGGTAAAAATAAAACTTAATTATCCATGATTTTTCGTATTCGATAGCAGAAGATTTGGTTCAAAATTTAAAGTCGTAAATTTGGATTGTTTCTCATGGAAGCGGTGAATTAAAAACGGAAAATTTCCAACATCGCCATGGAGATACGTGGTTTCGCACCTCAGTCGGTGCTATACGGACATCTATCAAGTTTAAAAAAATGCATCAAGTCCCCGTACCCGCCGACCAACGCGTTTGTCGATCGAATCAACTACAGGTATTATGCGTAGGAGGTCAAAACGCCTTCAATTTTTTGAACGCAATACGGACATCCGTCGAGGCTGTATAGTTGTATCAAGGCGCCGTAGCAAACTCGTCCCATTGTTTATCGTTACATACGAATATAAGTTGAGAGAGACCAGTCATGATGCCTTCAATTTTATACATACATATTTTTGGGCAAAATGAGCTACGGTGTTTCTCCTTTTGCGACGTCGCAGACTTCCTTAGAAATTTTATTTTATTTTAGGCGGATATGTATGAAAGCCAACAAATGCATTTCAACGCATCGGCCTGTTCCCCACTCATGCAACTAATGCAACTTTTACTTTCAAAGTTTCGATCGCTTTCTAGGTATTATTACTTCAAAATGACTTCAATTTTAGGCATCTAAGTGATTTCTCTAATAGACCATGTTGACAAACAATGGAAATGCATTTTCGAACATGACTGATATGAGCCGCGCCCTAGCCGGTGGGTACTTCTAGTGATGGCTGGGATCCTTATATACCTAAGGGGGAATCCCCGAGGGATGGGCTCATTGGATGCCAAGGGGAGTAGCCCCTGGGGGTTGGACTTCTTGGATACCAGGTGGCACACCCCCCGGGGGGTCGGGCCTCTTGGATGCCAGGGGGGGCAGCCCCTTGGGATTGGGCTTCTTGTAGTCAGGTGGGGCAGCCCCCGGGAGGTTGGGCTCCTTGGATGCCAAGGAGGGCAGCAACTGGGGGTTCGGCTTCTTGGATGCCAGGTGGGACAGCCCCCAGGGGGTTGGGCTTCTTAGATACCAGGTGACACACCCCCGGGGGGTCGGGCTTCCTGGATGGGCGGCAGTACCTGGCGGTTGGGCCTCTTGGATGTAAGGTGGGGCAGTCCCCGAGGGGTTGGGCCTCTTGAATGCCAGGTGGCACAGCCCTTGGGGGATTGGTCTCCTTGGATGCCATGGGGAGAAGCCTCCGCGGGGTGGGGCTTCCTGGAATCTGGTGGGGGCAGCCCCGAGGGGTTGGGCTGCTTGGATGCCAGGTGGAACAGTCCCCGAGGGGTTGGGCTCCTTGGATGCCAGGTGGAACAGTCCTCGAGGGGTTGGGCTCCTTGGATGCCAAGGGGGGCAACCCCTCGGTGTTGGGCATCTTGGCTGTCAGGTGGGGTAGCCCCCGAGGGGCTGAGCTTCTTGGATGCTGGATGGGGCAGCTCCCGGGGGTTGGGTGCCTTGGATGCCAAGGGGTGCATTTCGCAAGGGGTTGGGTTTCTTGGATACCAGATGACGCACCCCTTGGGAGGTTGGGCTCCTTAGATGTCAGGTGGGGCAGCCCCCGAGGGGTTGGGCCTCTTGGATGCCAGGCGGAGCACCCCTTGGGGTTGGGTTTCTTAGATGTCAGCTGGAGCACCCCCGGAGGTATTGTTCTCTAGGAAAACACGTAAGACATTGCTGTAATTAGTGTAATTCGTACTCTGTCGCCTGGGTCTATGATTTGCCTTCCATTCGCCGGCTAGGCAATATGACTGTCGTGACGCACGAATAGTGGTATCAGAATTTCCCATTAAGATTACATAGTGGATTGAAGGCGCTCTTCTCTATCGTATCTGAGTGGCCCCGTACAACGATGGTGACCAGAGATGTTCAGAATTTTGCAGTCTTCAATCGAGCCAGTCAGTCACATGAGGTCATTTACATGCAGAGTAGGTATTTAAGGTCAATAATTAATTAGATTATAGCATCTCGACCCTCGAATACTGCTCTGAGTTGGTTGTAGGGCGTTGATGCAACTATTCGTGTCCCGCGGATGTGCGTAGCGCATTTTTAAAAATTGAAGGCACTTCCGTGTTTCTCATCTCATCAGGAATGCATGATAGTTGTCGTTAGTTGTAGCACTCGCATAACTTTTCGCATTCATCCGGCGATTAACTCTTCAGGTACTCGCACTTTTCGTGATTTACAATTTACAATCACAAATACGGACTCGTCAGGAAAAATGTATTTACTTCCAAAAACCTACGCAAATCTATTGCATAAATAATTAATCGACAGCCATCAGACTGTTCGTAGCTCTGCTTAATGATTTATTAAATAGTTAAAGAAATAATTAAAGTCAATTTTGTTTAAAATGTTCGGAGAAGGCCTCTAAGGAGCTCTTGCAAATCCTGGATTTTCTCGATTTCGCACATACCCACAAAAAAACCCGCTCACGCCTACGCTGCTAAGGAAGAACGCCGTATGAACATTCGAGAGTTGCAAAATTTTCCTTGATAAAGCATGTATTATTGACAACATTCGTGCATATTTTTCTTTGAACTTTTCAGATATTTTAGATTAAATTGCGTACCTACAAAATTGTCTGAAAATTTTGGAAAATAATATTCGCAATTTCCCCTTTAATTTCGGTTTTCATCGGAGGAAACTTGGCAACGTCTGATGGCTCATACGACGTTCTTCCTTAGCACGGCAGTATGGCTGTGGGACCCTCCCCGCATCATCGAGCAGGATTTTCGCCGGAGAGCGAAATGTATTTGTAGGTCTAATGATGAGAGAGCATTTAATCCGGTATGCGTTTTATATTTTAATTTTTTATTTTCACCCGTCGCCCAGCGTTCCCTGGAGGCTGGGAGTGGACGTTCGGACAAGTGTTGATACAGCAAACCAAAGCAATTGGGAATCGTTGCCGTCAAATATTGATACTCAACCGCGACGTTGTCGAGCCTTGAAATTCCGCGGATTTCAAACCCGATCAAAAGCGGAGAGCGGTCAGTTTCCGCCTCGCGACTTGGCAACGACGCTCGGCTGAGGGCTGACCAATTACCGTCATTCAGTGCGATTTAATTTTTAAACAAAGCTCCAACAAACAAATCTACGGCCCGCGAAATAATGGATGAGTTCATCTCGACGTTGACGTTTCGCCGGTGTTTATTCTATGGGATCCACTCGGAAGTTGGGAAATTAGGCGACCTTCCTTGATTCCCAGGTCCAGCCGTTGTTGATATTGCCGGATTCATGAGCCTCCATCGGGACCGGTATGAAATATCTGGATTTTTACTAAAAAATTGGCACGGGGACATGTCCACCGGTGGTTTGTGCGTTTACCTACACACCTCGCCCAGATCAAATCCGCTTAAACACTCGCCATCATTTTTAAAGCGCTACTCCGACGTGCTAAGAAAAAACGCCGTATAAGCATTTGAGTGTTGCCAAATTCACTCTGAAGAAAATTTATTCCTGAAGTTATGCACATTTTTCTTTGACATTTTGGGACGCCCGAGATCAAATTACGAACACAATTCTCTGAAAATTCAGAAAAAAATACTTACAAATTTTCCCGAAAATTTGTGATTTTTCGAGAGAAGTTTGGCAACGCCAAAAGCCTCATACGACGTTTTTCCTCAGCACAGCAGTACAGTGAAAACAACTCATCCGCCGTCCTCCTTCATTTTGCTATTTTATTCCCTCTTTGAGTATTTATTAACTGTCGAAAGTGAGTAGAACGGTGCTAGTGCTAGTGGAGCGGCTGCAAAATAATACAGCAGGATGATTATTGAAATTGTTAGACACAACGATAGACAAAGAAAATAAAGGGAAAATGGAGCGATCCTATTGGTGGGAGTGGATGGTTGTGATGAGTACCTAAAGGAGATAGGTATAGGTATGTATAAGTAATAGACTATCTAACGGAAAACGACAACCCCCTAGAGACCCTACCTATAGTTAGTTAATCATTTTCCTCCTTCTAGTTTTTAAAAATCACCCGTTTCAACGAAGGATCGCTCTAATACTCCTTTGTCGTCTTTGTCTGTAGTTTTTTTCTGTCGATTTTAATGACCGGCTCGCAGACCAGAAAAGATAAATACAAATTTACATATTATTTTATCCGCTGAAGCAGAATATCCTGAAAGGTCGAATTCAGAAACTTAGAGGACAAGGCGCATGGGAGCAGTTTTTAAAAAAATTAAGATATTAATGATTTCAAGTAAAACTAGTCTGAGTGGATATTCTGTGAAGAATTCGCTCCCGAATTCTAATTTTTAAGCATCGAACATGAATTTGAATGACATATATTTTCGTGATCTACGACCCGTGATCGGTGCTCTTCACAAGGTCTCGGGTCTGGGTCCGACATCATGGGAGAATGCAATAGTGTATTTTCTTCGGAAAATACACTAAAAGTCAGTATATACCTTCTTTACGCCATAAGGACCTATGTAGTTTCGAAACTTCAAACACGTATTTCTCGAGATAGCAAAAACTCTGCATTGATGCGCCTCGTCCTCCAAGCTCCTCAATCAAGATGCACAATAACGACCTCTCGAGCTTGGTTGCAGAACATTCAGGAGGCTGCACTGCACTGAGGATTGGCCCAACAAGGCCGAAACGCGTCTGCAGTTGCCTTTCTGAATGGACGTAACTAGTGTTGCTCCAAACAGCGTATCTCTTTAAGGGAAAATTGCGCTTGTGTGTGAGCCTTTTCCTTCTGTAATGAGATATCAGCTTTAAGCTGAACTTTTAACCCACGTTGGCTACAAAACTCCAACATTCCAAGATGCACAATGCTTTTGATACAAATATTTTAACTTTGGCGTGAGCTGTGAAGTATCACACGAGACTGAAGGCGTTTTTGACTGGTGACAGCAGTTTGTAGCAGCTCGCAGCGACGCGTGCCACGTGAGCGAATTGAAGAAACCTGTCTCTACCCGTCATTTCTTTGAAGGCTTCGGTCAGGATCTTCAAGACGACATTTCATGAATGTTCCATGATCGATTGAAAAATTTTATGAGTTAATATCAAGATAAGCACTGACATTCATCGTATTTTAACTCCGGCGTGTGTGGTGGTAAAGTATCACACAAAACTGAGGGCGTTTTCGACTGGTGACAAAATCTCATGGTCCGTTCCTCCGGCTCACAGTGCGGCATCCTTATGGACGATACTGACAAAAATCGGTAAAAGATACCTAACTTTAAATAATGAAGATAGTATAGCACCGACGTAGGAAAACCCTTTAGCACTATCAAAGTAAAAAAATATGTTATACCTACCTCGGGGTTTTTTTGCGCATTTTTCGAGAAAAGTTCATTTGAGGTCGGCAACCTCGAATATTAGTCCTATGTTAACAATGTAGAAGCAACGTGAAACACCCAAACTTCAAATACTCCATAGTCGCAAAAAGCCGCAAGATCTTTTTGGTGGAATTGAAGTTGGATACCTGAGGATTAAGAAAATGTCAACCACCCAGAGCATTTTGCGTTTCAAGCGAAAAATCTTCATTTGAAGTTGACGTCTTTTTCCCGTGTATATCTTACGGACCAATGATTCTCGACCCATCTCTCGCCCACAAGCTACCCAAATTTGAAGTAATTTCGAGCGAAAAATTTGGAAATGAACCATCATTGTGAGTCAGTAATATCTTTAAGATGTTGAACTCCAAAAAAAATATTCAGATGTCGAGTTGTGAATTTTTGATTTTTGTCAACAGGGGGCCGCACCGTGCAGCCGTTGAAAATGTCCATCATGATGGCCTATAGTTTTTCAGACTTCCGCCTTTTTCGCGTGACGAATTCTAAAGATTATTGATTATCTTGACTTCCGAAAAAGACGAAAGTCCGAATATCGTCCCTGAGCAATGACAGTCATTATGGACATTGGAAGCCGGAACTCATGAATTTTTGGATTTTGGCCCCTTTAAAAAAACGATTCGTATATATTTGACAAACATTTTAATTTATATTCATGTGTCTTCCTCCATCAAGTCACTGTGCCATAAGCATGATTCGAAGCAGGTCTTGTGGCGTTACATCGCATTCGCAAGTTCATTATTAAAAAATGACCACCGAATGAATCGACGACATTAGTTAGGTTTCAAGATTTTCAGATTTAATCGTAGTGGGATTCATAAGAATTTGATAAGGATTTTCCTGATGCGCAACATTATATGAAGCAAGGCACGTTGTGAATATCTTCATCCTCGCACATGGAGAATTTGCCCTACCTTCCCCCGCTCAATGAATTGAGGAGGTTAAAAGAGCACAGTGTGTGTACGTGGAATCATACAAATACCGTACTGAATAGAATTATACATATTTATTTATTTTTTAAATTTAGTGTCACAATTTTGGAAGTTTAAAACGACATGCATGGTTCAGAGAAAAACACGAGGAGTCTTTAAGAGAGTAAATGAATTACGAAAAATTTTAGGCGCCCCTGCGAATAGCGCCCCGCGCGGGTGGGTATTTTATGTGCCCCTCATGAAGGGCGTGGTGTGCTTTGCGATGAATCGATTGATGCGCCATTCAAACACATGAAAAAAGATCGATTATCAGGGCGTTCGCAACGAATACCATAATAATCAATTCTTTACCATAGCTTTAAATGGTATAATCTCGATAGTCGATTATCACGTCTCGCCACGGGCCTCTCTCA